CAACCTAATTTCTGGTTCAAAACTGTTATCTCAATTCTTCTAGTTTTAAAACTCGAAATTGCTCAACAATTGCGGTTGATGATTTATCTCATGAAAACACAACGATTACTGCTGAAAATGCTTCGCATGCATCATCAGATGATGAATTTGAGGAAGAAGTGACAGTAGAAGTCACTCATCCTCTGTACTTAGCTCCCAGCGATACAAGTGGAATCTCTTTGATTTCGTTTCAGTTAACCGACACTGACAATTACTCCATGTGGCATCGATCTATGCGAATTGCCCAACTTTGCCGTAATAAGCTTGGGATTATTGATGGACGATGGCCTTATGAGCGATTTCATGAGAAGTACTTGTATCAATGAGAGATATGCAATGCCATTATGCTATCATGGTTGATGAATTCAGTGTCTCCGACCTTAATTAGTGGCATTGCATACGCTACTAGCGCACAGGTAGTGTGGATGGATATTCAGGAATGCTTTGATAAGGTGAATGATACACGTTGCTACAATTTGCACATGAAAATTCCCACCTTAAATCAAGGTACTGCATCTATCTTTGTTTACTACTCGAAGCTCAAAGATCTCTGGGATGAGACTGAATCTATAGTACCTACTCCTGGCTGTGATTGTGTTAAGACAAAAGAATTTATTGTGCATCTACAAAAACAGAAGGTGTACCAATTTCTAATGGGATTAAATGACTCTAACTCTCAAGCTCGTAGTCAAATTCTTATGATGAAATCCCCAACCGTGAATAAAGTTTATGCAATGCTCATGAGTGATAAGAGTCAAAGAACTATAGCAGCTAGTGCTGGAGTGTTAGGATATGCTCCTAATGTAAGCACAAATTCGTATGATTCCACTGCTTTGTATAGTGCTAAGCCTAATTTCAACCAAAAGTTTAGGAAGAATTACAACGTTCAGTATGAGTTATGTAAAATGAAAGGCCCCAATAAGGAAAACTGCTACAAAATAATAGGATATCCACAAGACTATAAGTTTAAAAAGCAAAGGGGAGCTGGAACACACAATGCTATGATAGAACCTAGTCATGCTATGCCTTTGCACACAAATCATGTCTCTCAGAATATGTCAATGACACCTATGCCAATGCAATCCATGTCCACATATCATGGCCATCAGTATGTGAGCCAAGCTACTGAAGGATTACAGGGTTAAGGAAACTCTGGCACTCAGAATCAAGTAGGTTCTTCTTCCGCACAACCTCAGGGATCAGCAAGTACTGCTTCACAAGGAGGTGGCTTTCCTTTCAATAAGGAACAATATGATCAAATAATGCATATTTTGAATAATATCCCAACTCCTCCTACTCAAGCAAATTCAGCAGGTATTGATACTGCCCCTTTAGCATCCATTAAGTACAAGAATAGATCATTGATACAAGTGCCACCAACCATATGATGTTAGATGTTAATTTACTGACCAAAACATCCCTAATCACACCTTCTCATCCTAGAAGAGTTCTACTACCTAATGGAGATGTCACTCAAGTTACTCAGATTGGAGAGTCATATTTCAGATAGAAACACTAGTAAAGAAGTGCTCTATGTACCTCAATTCTAATTCAACTTATTGTCGGTCTCCAAGGCGACAAGAGATCTAAGATGCTTTGCTTCCTTTTATCCTGATTTTTGTGTATTTTAGAATCTCTTCAGTGGCAAGGTGAGGGAGATTGGTAGGAAAAGAGATGGCCTATATTTCCTATTGAAACATGGGGCCAAGAAGCTTACTACTACCACTTTAGTTGCAACTGGAATAAAGTCAAGAAATACTGATATTACTTTGTGGCATAAAAGACTAGGTCATATCTCTAGTATGGTACTCATAAAATTATTTCCTGCTAAACTAGCAAGTATTAATAGCATTATAAATAAATGCACTATATGTCCATGTGCTCAACAAACCAGGTTGTCATTCCCTACTAGCTGCATTAAGAGCACTGAAGCATTTGATCTGATTGATGTGGATGTTTGGGGTCCTTACAAATATGCAACTTTTGATGAAAATAGATATTTCTTGACTGTTGTTGATGATTTTACCAGAATGACTTGGTTATTTCTTCTGAAATTAAATCTGATGTATGTGTTTTACTTGCACATTTTATTGTGTTTGTTCAAACTCAATTTAACAAAACCTTGAAGGCAGTTAGATCTGACAATGGGTCTGAATTTGTCAATTCTGTATGCAATACCTTGTTCCACAAATATGACATTTTTTATCTGAAGACATGTTCTTACACTCCTCAGTAAAATGAAGTTGCTGAGAGGAAACACATGCATATCCTAGAGGTAACTAGAGCCTTAAGGTTTCAGGCCCATATTCCTATTAAGTACTGAGGTCATTGTGTTCTTTATGCAATATATATTATCAATAGAATGTCATCTTCTGTACTCAATGGACTGTCTCCTTTTGAATTGTTGTATGGTAGAGCACCCACTACAAGAAATCAACCTTATTGCGGCGACCAAAGTCGCTACAAAATCCATGATAGTCGCTGCTAAATATTATCAGTGGCGACATTTGTGTTGCTACAAGGAAAACCGTAACTGAAAGGTTTTTGTGGCGACACCAAAAGGTCGCCGCTAAAAGCTCATATTTAGCGGCGACATAGTTGCCACAAAAGGTGACAAAACCCGCTACAAAATAGTTCCACAAGAATAAAATTTTAGCTGGGTCGCCACTACTATTCCCTTTTAGCGGCGACTACTATCGCTACCAAAACATATTTTCAGTGGCAAGTTCATATCGCCACTATAAATGACTTTTAGTAGCAACTCATATCGCTACAAAATAATTAACCAAGAAAGGCACAATAACTTTCTGTGGCGACTAAAGTCGCTGCAAAAGAAATAAACTAACAGTGGCAATTTTAACATTGCAACAATTACTAATATTTTGTGACAAAATAATGTCGCCACTAAAACCTATCTTCTCAAAACCTATAATGACCAAAATTATATATATTTCCGGTAGGAACCTAATTCTCTAAATTTAATAACTGGATATTCACATCTATTGACTACCAATATTAAAAGCAACCAATAATATTTAAAAAAACACCAAAAGAATTTCTCAAACTAAATATTATAAATATTTTCATTACAAAGAAGTCAATTACATAATACTACATGACACTTCATTGTGCATTGTAATTGTACGCATATACATATCCCAAAAAAGATAAAATATTAAGTGCCTTGTAGTTGCTCCTTGGTCGACACCATCCTTGAACGATACCATTGTTTAAGTACTTTGACCCTGCTAAAAAAATAATATATATACATATAAGGAACATAATGATATTTTTATATCAAAAAACATATATAGAAAAACTTATTAGAATAACAATGACTTCCTTTAGAATAATGCTCATTCAGAAGTTAGGTTTTGGAGTCGACTACTCGTTATTGAATTGGTTTGGATGCATTATCATTCTTTTAAAAATTAGTCTATTAAGAGGAAAGATAACAAGGATGCATTGCCCAATCAACAAGGATACATTGCACAAGCAGAAATAACATATTGGTTTGGATGCATTGTCATTCTTTATCCTACTTTCACCTTTGATCTAGAAAACTCTGTATCTATAGTAAAACATTTAGCACTGCCCAAGCAGGAAAAAAAGCTAATGTACATGACAATTACTACATTTTATAGCCCGATCATGGAGTATTAAGCATCTAACATTATAGCAATCGCAAGTCAAAATGATTTTACTATTAAAATAAACACATAAGCAGGAAACAATAAACACATAAGCAGGAATCGCAAGTCAAAATGATTTTACACTAGTCAAATTCTTCTAAGCATTGCACTAGTCAGATAACAACAGGAGCTACAAAGCGGCTGTAATCAAATTTGAACAGGAATTCTAGCTTAAGCTTATTTTCATCCTTCAAACAGGACCTATAAATGGTCCCGAAAATTTTCACAATTATCATGTAAAGCATATCCACAGGCAAAACCGTAGAAGCGTGTACTGTCTTGACAAAAGGTTTCTACTCTTTAACTATCTCACAGCAGAAAAATGTAGTATGGCAAAAGCAACAAAGAAATGCCAAAAAGTTGAAGGACACTCATCTCTGTTATAATCATACTAACATTGAGCTAAAAGAAAAAGAAAGAAAAAAAGAGCCAAAAGACCACTATCTTCTTTAGAATAATACTCATTCAGAAGTTAGACCACCAAACATTTAAAGCTTTAGTTAGCAGATCTGAAAATTCTTATCCAGATGCTACTTGATCAAATTACAAGTTCATAACATAACCAGCACATCGTCCCTTCACATAGAAATTCAATATAGCTGTTTTATTTCATCAGCAACATGCATTTACGGTGTTTTCTTCATATTAACTGCCATAAACGTAACTAATTACGAGATTAAGAGAATTGAATTGGTTTGTAAAAATTCAGATTTCACATAAACAAAAAATAGCCCAATAGTCTATTATCAAGAGGATGAAATTTAAAGAATGAGAAGTTGAAAAGAAGATAGGGAGCAAGTGACAGAAGAATTATCCAGAATTAAGGAAGAAGAAATGCCGAGAAGGAAGAAAAATTGTTAAGAAGCAGCGGAGCAAGTACCTGTTGTTGCATTCTGATCATGAAACTAGCAAATTGTTCATACATCCTCTTGTCCACTTCTAGATGGATCCTCTTGCCTACTTCTGCATTTGCGTGTTCACGCTCCTCTGCCAACTTCCTTTGCACTTCTGCATTTGCGTGTTCACGCTCCTCTGCCAACTTCCTTTGCAATTCAAGCTCCATATTTCTTTTCAACTCAGCAGCCATTTGTTCACGTTCTTCTTGCAACTTCCTATCCATCTCGGCTTGCATCTCTTGATGCACAATTTCCATAGCTGAAGACACGCTGGACTCTATGTTTGCATGCTGCATGTTACTCTTTTTAGGAGGCTTCTTTCCGTATCCTTTTCCGCGAACATAGCCTGTTCTCTCACCAAGAACGATGGATAAAATCTCATCTCTAGTCATGGGATGCTCGATCTCTTCAGATTGTTGTTGAGTGACAACTTCTTGGAGTTGACCCTGCATTAATGCATAATCATTTACATCGAAACATAATAAAACACACTGAACGTACCTTTCAGAAACAGAAAGATAACAAGTCTATGCTTTTAGATAATTACATGAATTTGTTGGGATTGTGAATCCACCCACACCAGTTCTCCTCTATCATCCTTGCGTGTATGTTGGATCTCCCAAACTTTATCTGGTGTGTCTATTTCTCCAGTAATAGGATTTCTCTGCAATAGAATTTCAGAGAAAAAATGGGTAAGAAAATATATAAATATGTGAATAACAAAGAAGCATATGTGATATTAGGGGATTAAATATATTTTTACCGTAGATTCCTCTACTTCTGCAAAAGACCTTGTACCACAAGTATGTTTAGTTATTTGCTTTTCTCTATTTCTTTTGTTCCTATCACTTACAACCTGTAAGTCAATAGATTAATAAATCACCTTTCAAAGATGTGAATGGTGCCCTTTGGTTGACAGAATCTTTATGTATTAAGTTAGTACCTTAAAATCCTGACTTCCAAAATATTGTATTAGGTATTTCCAGTCCTCAAGCTCAACATCTTCAGGTCGATGAGACAATCTTTCTTCATTAGTATTGTACTTAGAGTATAACCTGCTGAGTCGAGCTTTCCATGCTCTAAAAAGTCTTTGCATAGTACTAATTACGAAGGCTTGAAACCTATGCTCTTGCAGCCCGCTGTAAACTTCAAATTTATCTTGTTATTGGTAAGCACAAGCATGTTAGCTAAGGAGTGGACTGGGCAGGTTGGTCTGTCTAACACTGAAGACACTACTGCCCATTCCAACCTCATTCATGTCATTGTTGTGGGAATATCAAGCAAAAAATAAACTACAAAACAACAAGCCAACAGTGGACCAACAAAAGGAAAATCTACTGAAACAGATTCCTTGCTTGCAACTTAAAACTTTTCATATTATTTAATATATGTCATTCTAAAACTATAGCATCGAAATTATTAAGCAATAAATTACCTCTCTATAGGATACATATTCCGATATTGAGCTGGTCCACCAAGCTTTGCCTCACTTGGCAAGTGAATTGGCAAATGAACCATGACATCAAAGAACGCCGGAGGGAAAACAAGTTGAAGTTTGCACAAAATAATAGGAATTTCTGCCTCTAGGATATCAAGATCTTCAATCGTCAATCACTTAGAGTATATATTCTTGAAAATTTTTCCTAAGGCTATAATTGTATCACACACTTCCTTGGGTAGCAAACCACGTATAGCTACTGGAAAAATGTCTTGCAATAATACATGATGATCATGACATTTCAATCTGTGTATCCTTTTTTCCTGTACATTGACACACCTTGAAATGTTTGAGGAAAAGGCATCAGGAACCTTTAGATTAGCCAAGAAACTGCATACCTTCAGCTTCTCTTCCGGGGACAATGCATAACATGCTGCAGGTAACAGAATATTGATCTCATCCTCAATTGGATGCAACCTTTGTCTGATTCCAAGGTCCATCAAGTCATATCTACTTTTCAATGTGTCTTTTGTTTTTCCAACCATATTCATGACATTTGATATAATATTGTCGGACACATTTCTTTCGATGTGCATCACATCAAGGTTATGTCGTAATATAAGACTCTTCCAATAAGGCAATTGGAAAAAGATACTTTTCTTCTTCCAGTTGTATGCATTGTTATGAACATCACGCTTTCTCTTTTGTCCTTTACCAAAAGTCACATTACCTAAAGCTTGTAATTGCATAAGTGCTTCATCACCTGTTAAAGGGTTAGGCTTAACTCCCATTTCAACTTTCCCATCAAATAACATCCTACTTCTACGCCATGGATGGTCCATGGAAAGAAAGCGGTGATGACCCATATAACACAACTTACTACGTAAGGAAGTCGATTGTGTATCTTTATGGCAACAAGGGCATGCAAGCTTGCCTTTGGTTGACCATCCTGAAAGATTTCCATATGCAGGAAAGTCATTGATCGTCCACATGATAGCCACATACATCAAAAAATTAGATTTTGAGTGTGCATCATAAGTATCCACCCCGAACCATAATTCTTTCAACTCTTCAATCATTGGTTGTAAATATACATCGATATCATTGCCTGGACACTTGAGGCCTGGAATAAGAAGTGTCATCATGAAATACGGATTTTTCATACAATCCCATGGTGGAAAATTATACGTAGCTAGTACGACGGGCCAAATACTATGATTAGAACTCATGTTCCCATATAGTTGGAACCCATCACTCTCTAAGCCTAGTCGAACATTTCTTAACTCAGCCGAAAAGGTGGGATGTTGTGCATCAAAGGATTTCCATGCTATTGAGTCAGACGGATGTCGCAAGACACCATCATCAATATTTTCCTCCTTATGCCACCTCATCTTTTTAGCTGTCTCTCTTGCCATGTACAATCTTTGAAGTCTTGGTTTGATTGGAAAATGCCGCAAGATTTTATGAGCTACTTTCTTGCCTCCGTGTCCTTCGGACTTCCATCTAGACTTACCGCACTTAGGACATGCTTGAATATCGGCATAATCACGCCAATATAAAATACAATCATTTCGACATGCATCTATTTTGGTGTACCCCAAGCCGAGGTCACAAAGAACTTTCTTTGCTTCATAGAAAGAATTTGGCACAAATGACCCATCTGGAAGAACTTCTTTAAAGAAGCTCAATAATGCATCCATAGATTTGTTGCTCCAACGGTTAAGACACTTCAAGTGAAGTAGTTTAACAACAAAAGACAACTTTGAGACTTTTTCACAACCAGGATAAAGTTCTGTCTCAGCATCTTCTAACAATTCGTAGAACTTTGTTGCATGTATATTTGGTTCTTCGTTGTCCTCTGAATTATTATTATCCTCCACATTCGTATATCCACAAGCATCGTGAATCATTTCACTAATATTGTCCTCTTCAATGCTATCATCTTCTGCTCCATCATCACTAACTACAACACTAGAAGTTTCAACTCTAACTGACACTTCTCCATGCAAGTCCCACACTTTATAAGAACCCCAAAATCCCTTCCTCAATAAATCTCCTCTTACACCAACCCGTAGCTTGAACTCGGTATTCATACACCCTTTACAAGGACACCGAATCATAGTGCTCACCGTAGGTTGACTGAATGCCCAATTAAGAAAGTTGTCAACTCCATCTCTATACCTTTGGTCGACTCTATTCCTAATATTCAACCAACTTTTATCCATCCTTTCTATTTAAAAAAAAGAAAGAAAGTTAATTAAATAAAAGTGCAGCGTTGATAATAATCAAAACATATATAATACATAGAGTGATGATCTTAAATCAGACAACATTGATCCTTGCAAGGAATTTGGAAACATGTTTTAAATTGCCAACTTGAATGACAAAAGTTGGAATTGACTTCTTGTTATATCTTGTTTCCCATATTAGGTTTTTCTCTTCTCTATAATGGAAGTAGACATGGCGTCGTTTCTGTTGCATAATTTGTTATAGACAATAAGAAGAGGTTAATGATAAGAGTATATTATGAAAGAATGATATTATTGTAACTATTTTTCCAAACTTAAGCACATGATTACAGCTTATCAATGTTTTATTTATGGTTATAGACTAGTTATGTTTACGACGTGGTTGCAAGATTCTACTAATTAAATGCAATAATTTTTGTGATTAATGTCAACCAGAACTTGTGGGTGATGAAGAAACCTCTAAAAACAATGTCTACAGAAGATTGCATAACTCAAAAAAAATGCCAAGTCTTAAATCCTCACAAAAGATATTGGAGAGACGACAACAACATAGCCCATGGGAAGAAACAATGTTAAGAATACAAGCATACTTCGAATCTAGTGATTAACCTTAATTGATAAGTAATGACAGTAAAAAACAAAGAATATCAAATAATTTAACTCTATCTGTTTGTAAATGGTCTTTATTCTCATACAAATCTGAGATCACTATGAATTTCAAAAATCTACATAATAAAAATGAATACACCACAATAGAAACACATTGGATACAACCGCTAAAGGAAAATTATGGCAGCGATTCAACCAGCCCTTACGAGTATGGAATACCAACATACAATAGGTCTCTCAACAAGAAGCTTTTAACTTACCCAAACTAAGATAGTCGAGTTCTGTCAAGACTGAAAATCAACAACAACAACATCAAATACGCCTCAAATGAGTCTTCATGTGAGGCTCTTTTTTGTTGTATTCCTGTAGATTATCAAATGTTTCAGAGAAATTCAAGATGAAATCTAAGAATACAACTATTAAATTACTGAAATAACAATAATCCTTAACTGCATGTTGAAAATTTTGCCTTAAAGAATCCTTATAAAAAAATCCATACATAAATTTATATATAAACTAGTATGGGTATAAACAAAAAAGAAAGGATTAGGTTCACTAGCAGCTATATCAGATTTTTCGTTCCTAAAAGAAAAAGGAAAAGAATAGGGATTTGAACACATACCTGATAAATGAGATTCACATTTTGATTAGAAAGATTTAGAGCTAGGTCATGAAATTTTAGCAAAGATGTGATTTTAGAGAGAGGGGGGAGGGATTTCTAGAGAGAGGCCTGTTTGTATGTCTGAAGGCTTCGTATCTTTTAATTAGAAAGAAGGGGCTTTTTAAATTTTTTGTTGTTATTTTAAATTAAAATTTCTAGGGTATAGCAGTGACCTAGTCGCTGCGAAATATCTTTAGCGGCGATTGGTTAAAAGTCGCCACAAATAATTTGGAGCCAAAATTTTATTCTTAGCGGGACCGAAAATTTCAGTCACATCATAGGCGACCTTAGAGAAGTCGTTGCTAAATATTCACCATCTGTAGCGACCTTTTATGTTGCTGCTAATACTATAAATGTTGTAGCAACTTATAGGGTCGCCACTATATGTTGCCACTAAAAATTCAAATTCTTGTAGTGACCCACCTTGGAGCATCTGAGAGTTCTTGGCTGTCTGTGTTATGCCAAACAGGTTCAAGAAACAGACAAACTTCTTCCCAGAGCTAAGCCTACTGTCCTTATAGGGTTTTCTGTTACTCAAAAAGGATGTATCCTGTTAAATTTGGACACTCATTGCTTTCTGATTAACATAGATGTTTCCTTTAGGGAAGATGTTTTCCCTTTCAAGGACTCTTCAGCATTTGTACCACCTATGTTCTTGCCCCCTGAATCATCCACTTTTGATGCAGAACTCCTCTCACCTCATTCTTTTATCAATTCTGACCATGCAGCTAGCAGATCAGAACACGACTCATCTTTATAGCACCACTCACTATCAGAAGTGGTGCCAACTTCCTTGCCTTCCCAGGATTAGAGCTTCACTAGTCTGAGAAGATCATTAAAGAGCAATCAAGCTCCTATTTGTATGAAAGACTTTGCGTCTTTGCCAGGACACAAGTTTGTGTCTTATTCTATTACCAACTATGTGTCATATGATGGACTCTCTGCCAAATATCAAGCCTATCTAGCAGCCTTCTATACTATAGTGGAACCTACCTCCTTTGAGGAAACTGTTAAAAATCCTATGTGGGTGGATGCAATGCAGGCTAAGATTGCCGTCTTAGTGTCACAATCCAAAATCTCTCCAAAGGAGTCGTGATGGAACCTAGTCACTAAACTAGGTAAGCCTAACATTAATTGAGATAACATTGACATTTACTAACTTCAAATTTAAATAACTTTGAAAAATCACGATTTTCCAAAATCGATGGTACAAGTCATAAGCCTTTCTAAGAGTAGTTATACAAAATAAATACAACATTATTCCAAAACGAGAAGGAATCAATGGAACGTAATTAAAAACGAAGGTGACTCCGAGGCCTGCGAACGCAGCATCAGGTTGCCTTGAGTCTCCACCGTGATGATCTGCACAGCTACTATCGATCAATACTTGGATCTGTACACAAAAATATACAGAAGTGTAATATGAGCACACCACGGCAGTGCCCAGTATGTATCAAGACTAACCTCAGTGGGGTAGTGACGAGGAATAGTCGAGACACCTACTGGTCAGATAGATTAAACAAGATATGATATCAAATTTTAAGATAAAGGTAACAGAGTAATATCAACATCAGGGATTAATCAAACTACAATAAGTTGAATTAATAAAATAAAACTCGGATGGAAATGAAAGATAACCAAGTAAATAAACACTAACATAGCTGGAACATAGTGAAGTAGAATGAACTCAAGAAAGGAAGGCGATGTCAGCTCAATAAATCATATCATTTCTGATGCACAATTCCAACCATTTAAAACCCGATGTCTCCTATCATAACCTCAATTACCAAACCTTTAGCGCACCAGGCATCTTGTACCCACATATTTCTATCTCTCTTTGCACAACAATGTTCTCATGTTACTCAGTGCATACGGTCCATAACCACTACAATTAAGATGTTTAAAGAGTCTCATTTACATAACATAAAGTAGAGTACAACCTTTAAGCCAATTAGGAACTTAGCAAGAAAAGATGAAGTTATTTTTAGAAATCATTTGAATAAAGAAAGTACCATTTTAAATTAAAATACGACATCGAATGAATTATTACCTTTAACATCGGATTTAATAAATTAACTTAGCAGAAATTCCTTTTTAAGTAAAATACAACCTTAGACGGTTTAAGGGAATTTAATTGAGTAACTAATTAAATTAAAAATGAACAATTATTGAAACTTAAAGTATTGAAATATGTATATAAATACGGAAAAGTAGTGAAAATACTATGAGGTTCCATCAAAAAGGATCACAACAGTAAAGGAATCTGAACGATTAAAACACTTGAATTGATAACCACAAATAAGCACAACAAACAGAAAGTGCACGACATCACCCTTCGTGCTTTATCACTCTTCCCCACCATATGAAAAAAAGGAAATGTGCGTGGCATCACCCTTCGTGCTTTAACTCTCTCATAATCATGGCATGTCATCCCCTTTCGTGCTTTTACTCTCAATAATGTGGCACGGTATCACCGTTCGTGCTTTTACTCTTAATAATGTGGCACGGCATCACCCTTCGTGCTTTTACACTCATAATATCAGCATGACATCAACCTTCGTGCATTAACAATCACTCACAATATCATGCATGACATCACCCTTCGTGCTTTACACTCTTCCTCATAACATCATGCATGACATCACCCTTCATGCTTTACACACTTCCTCACCCAAGCAATAAAAATAATAACATCCTGGTAAGGGAATCAACAATAGAAATAATAACATTCCTGTAAGGGATTCAACAATAGAAATAATAACCTCCCAGCAAGGGAATCAACAATAAAAACAATAACCTTCCAGCAAGGGAATTAATAATAACCAATCATGTTTCAACAGTTAGCTTCACAAAATAGATCTCAACTTGTGTCAATGCTCAACAATGGTCAATTACTAAGAGAATGTCATAAGTCTTATTCAACATGAATAAATGTCAATTTAAGCATGAATAATACATAATAAAGATCACGAAAAAACCAAGAAGTTCAATAGCCTTAACAAAACAACAAAACATAATAAATATATGATACTACACCGGTAACCACAACAATTGGATATGTAACATATTTGCACGACGTCATAGAGGAACTCACAACCAAGAAGTATCAAAACAATAAGGAAGGCAATCACTTCAATTAAGGCAATTAGGGGTCAAGTAACACGTAAGAATTAGAGGAAAACTGACAACATCATATGGAGCATATAGATGTAATTTAAGCAATTAGGAAACTCAATCATAACCGAATACTTTTCACATAATGAACATAAGGATCTAAGAACCCTAGAGGCAAATTTCCCACAAATAAGTCCGAGCACACGCTCGTCACCTCGCGTGCACAGACTACAACTAGCATATAAGACTTAAATCCTAAGGGGAAGTCCCCTACACAAGGTTAGGCAAGATACTTACCTCAAATTTCATAAAACTATTCCAAAACCATTCCGAAACTCACCGAGCCCTCGGGGCTCTAAACCAAACACCCGCACAAGTCTGAACGCACAACACGAACTCGCTCACGCGATCAGAACATCAAAATAACTTCTAAAACGACAAATCGAAAGCCAAAACGCATGAAAATCCCTGTGAACCTCAAGAACTTCTAGAATTGCAACCACACGTCCGAACTATACCAAATCAACTCCAAACGACACCAAATTTTGCAGACAAGTCCAAAATGAGATAACGGAGTTGTTCCATCTTTCGG